AAGTGTTCAAGAACCAAATCCTGATTACATACCTGAACCAATTATTAATAATTCATTTGTAAATGATTTTCAATCAACTCTTGGTACAACTGTTCCATATTCATCAGATATGAATGATCGTCTTTTTCATGGTCATGGACATACACTTGAAGAAATATGGAAATTACGAAATGGTGGAAAATTTGATCGTTTACCCGATTGGGTTGTTTGGCCACGTCACCATCATGATGTAGAAAAAATAGTTAATTTAGCTGTTAAACATAATATTTGTTTAATACCATTTGGTGGTGGTACATCAGTTACATGGGCATTACTTTGTCCAACTGATGAAAAACGTATGATTGTTAGTGTTGATACATCGCAAATGAATAAAATTCTATATTTGGATGAAAAAAATTTAACAGCACGTATTCAATCGGGTATAATTGGACAAGATCTTGAACGTGAATTAGCAAAAAAAGGTAAAAGAAATCATTTTTAGTTTTATTTTCATTTTAATTTTAATATTGACTTTTTAGGATATTGTACTGGACATGAACCAGATAGTATGGAATTTAGTTCATTAGGCGGTTGGGTAGCAACACGAGCATCAGGAATGAAAAAGAATGTATATGGAAATATTGAAGATTTAGTTGTTCATATAACAATGGTAACAGCTAAAGGCACAATTGAAAAAAGTTGTTTAGGTCCACGACAATCAACTGGACCTGATATTCATCATGTTATAATGGGTTCTGAAGGTATTTTAGGTATTGTTACAGAAGTAACAATGAAAATTCGACCATTACCAGCTTGTAAAAAATATGGTTCAATTGTCTTTCCGGATTTTGAATCGGGTGTTGCATGTTTACGTGAAATAGCACGTTTAAGAAGTGCACCAGCATCAATACGTTTACTTGATAATGAACAATTTCTATTTGGACAAGCATTAGCTACTGATAATAAAGGAATGTTACATTCATTAGTTGATAATATTAAAAAATTATATATTACAAAAATTAAAGGTTTTGATATTAATCGTATGTGTGCAGCTACATTACTTTTCGAAGGTACAACGAATGAAGTTAATCAACGAGAAAAATTTGTTTATGATATTGCACAAAAATATAATGGCATACCAGCTGGTAAAGATTTATGTTGTTTTTCTAGTGTAGATAAGTCTCATTTTTATGATAAAAATGATCTAATCCGAATGTCACATGAAATGAAACAAATGAAATTTTTCGAGATTGTCTTGCAAGACTTGAGTGTAAACTTTGTTATGATTTTCAAATATGCGAAAGAAACTAATCTAAGCTTAATATTTTATTCTTGACGATGAGTAATTGAAATGTCTTGTCAGTCTAAAATCTAAGAAATTGTCTTTCTTTGAGAAATGAATGGGTTTTTTAGTATTTCATTGGAAAGACTTACTGCAAGTTTGTTTTGAGACTTTGATGACGTAATTCTTGAGCTATGAAAAAAAAATGATGATTTTTATCTTTCTTTTTTTGTAATGTTAGAAACCATAAGTTATGATATGATTGTTATTAAAAATTATCGATAGTTTCCTAATTGAAAATGTTTAGTGATATTCTAATATAATTTTTTGAATCTTCATACATATATAAATAATCAATCTTATTTAACTATTAAGATCAAACCTATTCCGAAAAAATTCTCAATTGAATTTATTTTCTCTTATTTCAGGTGAAGAAAATGGTTTGAAAGGATATACATTAACTTTCATGATAGCCTATTTACGAGATGTTGGACTTGATTATCGAATTGTTGCTGAATCATTCGAAACATCTGTACCATGGGATCATGTCATTGGTAAACGATTGTTTTCGTTCTTTTGTATTCTTTAAGTTTTAAATAATTCTATTTTTAAAGATTTATGTCGTAATGTTAAAAAACGCATTATAACTGAATGCGAAAAACATGGTGTTAAATATCCACCATTTTCTTCTTGTCGTGTAACACAAACATATGATGCTGGTGCTTGTGTTTATTTTTATTTTGTTATGAATTATAATGACATACGTCATGGTAGTGATCCAGTTCATGTCTATGAACTAGTCGAACAAGCAGCACGTGATGAAGTATTAGCTAATGGTGGAAGTTTATCACATCATCATGGTGTTGGAAAAATTCGTACTAAATGGATAAAACAAGCTGTTAGTGATCTCGGTGTTGGTACAATGATGTCAATAAAACAATATCTTGATCCAAATAATATATTTGGTTCAAAAAATTTAATACCTGAATCAACAGAATCAAATGAACATCTTAAAGCTAAACTTTAAAAAAGAAATAAACAGTGATGAAAAAAAAACGATCGATAATTGTCTTCTTTTTTTAATTGTGTGTGTGTGTATGTGCTTAAACATTTCATAATATAAAACAACAACTCTAATTAGGAAAATCAATGTTTATCAATGTTAAACTGTTTTCTTTTTTTATCTTATTGCATTGATTGTTTAAAAAAATACGTATCTACTTCCTCAAATAAAAAAAAAACAAGCATATGTACCAAGATTTCTCTTTTTTTAAAGATTACTATGACATCAATTCGACAGTTTAAATTATTAGATCTTTTACGAATTAATAATGTGTAAGTAATATTTGATTTGAATTGTTTATATGGAGATGAATTTGACTTTTTTTTTGGTTTAGGAATTTAGATATTTTTACAGAAAATGTGAGCGAAAAAAAAGGGAAAGGATGAAATTAAAAAAAATTGACTCTGTTTTGTTTTAGTATGGCCTTTCATTTTATTTACATTATTTAGCACGATGGCCAGAATGTTTTTTTGTAGCTGAAAACTCTGCTCAAAGATTAATGGGATACAGTAAGTTATATATAATTCTTATATTTTAAATAAAAATAAAATTACAAAAAATGCTTTTTTTCTAATTAAGTTATGGGAAAGATTGAAGGTAAGGCTTTTTTTATATTTATTAAGCGAAATTTTTTATTTTTCTATTCAAGGCAAACAAGAAAATTATCATGGCCATGTAACAGCTTTATCTATAGCACCGGAATTTCGTCGCATAGGAGTATCATCACAATTAATGGCATTGTTAGAAAATGTTTCCGAACAGTAATTTAACATATTTTTTTAAAATTCTTATATTTGAATATATATATATATTTATATAGGAAAAAGACCTATTTTGTTGATTTATTTGTTCGTGTATCAAATAAACGAGCTGTTGATATGTACCATAAATTAAATTATGTTGTATATAGGCGAATCATTGGATATTATTCTGGTGAACGAGACGAAGATGCATTTGGTAAAATATACAACCTATGTTGCAAAAGTTTTAATACAAAAAATATTCACTCATTTTCCGAAAAACTAGTTAAAACCAAAAGCATTAAATTAGTGTCAGTCTTTCACTCTTTCCAAACAAATGTGCAGAGTTTCCTTTTGAGATAAGATTGGAAAACTATCATCAGATTATTTCCAACGGTCAAAAATAGTAGTTGTAGACAGAATATTATTTTGTTCATTTTTGGATTTCAATTGAAATCTATCATCTTCAAAATATGAAATAGTTCTATAAATGCCACAGTGTTGCAGAGTAAAGTATGCTCTAAAAAGCGTACTATTTATTCTTGCACGACAGCAGTGGCGGATTTAGGGGGGAGGCGATTAGGCGATCACCACCCCCTTCGAAAATTTCACGTATAAGAAAAATTATATTTAGCCATATAGATTTGTTTAATACTTCATGTAACGAAAGAGGTTCAGTTTATGTAAACACCTGTGTTTTTGCGACCACTTGACTTCTACAGTTTTATTATGCACAGAAAACGATAACACAACCCAAAAAAACTCGGAGGTCATCCATCTGGACTCTATTTTAGACCATTGGAAACTTTCAAAAGTGCTTGGTCCCCCTTGAGCTGGCTTCTTTATACATGTCGAGATTTGATCAAATATTGTGAGTGACATATGTATTATCATCAGGTAAAGAATGAAAAGATCACAAAAAAATGATATATACATTTAGTTCAAAGTTCAATGATTCATTATATAATGTTTCAATCAATACATTCATATTTTCAATCGATCATTATCTAATAATTAATGAATCATTGAACTTTGAACTAAACATATATATCCCTTTTTTTTAGTCTTTTCATTTTTTGCCTAATAATGAAACAAACTTGTGTCGAAAGTTCGTAAATAAGATTAATTTATATATATATATATTCTACTTTATATTTAATATTTATTAAGTGAAAAATGACACTATCTCAGACACATTTGAAAAACTGCCGCCCCCTTCCAAAATCCTAGATCCGCCACTGCACGACAGATTTTACAACTTTTGCATTTTTAAAAGTAATTCTTGAAAAAGTCGTTGCCGATTTTCATAGAAACTCGATCTTTAATGGAGACAAATAGATGAAATTTCGCTTTGTATAAAATTTGATCTTGTACAGAATTCAGTACTCTACAATAATGTTGAATTGAAATTGTTTCAAAACACAAACTAACGATTGCATTAAAATAGGTACTTTACTTTGTACACACCAGAGTTCGTTAGGTTCGGCTCCGAAACCTATTGAACAAGCTCTCGTACAGACACAATTTTGGAATTTTTCACGAACCTTACTGATAATTATTCAATCTTATCACAGAAAGAAAATCTGAACATATGTTCGAAAATATCAAAAATCTCTGATTCCAACTAACTGATCTCTTTAATTGGCAGAAAAATGAGTGAATATTTTGTGCTGAGACTTTCGTAATACCGATGATTTATAAATATTCTAAAAAAATGAACAAAATTATCTTTTCTTTTTTTTTATTAGATATGCGAAAAGCTTTATCTCGAGATGTTGAAAAAAAATCATTAATACCCATACCACATCCTGTACGACCAGAAGATTTAGTCGATGATTAATATTTATTATGCAATTTTATTGTGCATGTGTGTGCATATTTATTTATTTGTTAAAGAAAATCGTTACAAATATAGAACAAATAAAAAATTCATTGTCTATTCCAATATTTTACATTCAGTACTTGTTGGCAAACAATCTTTATATTGTTTAAATCGACCATTTTGTTCATCGCTATTTTGTACGCAAACACATCTTTCAGTTTTTGTCGAACTATCAAAATATCGTCGAGGTACACCAATCCATGTTCTTTCTATCCCACCACTAAATAAATTTCGAAAATAAAGATAAGATAAACCTAGAACTAAAATATTTCTTGCAAAGTAAACTCAAAAAAAAAAAGAGATAAATAACAGAATATAAATTATCAAAACTAAAGAATACAAAACTATTGAGTTCGGGTACGTATCAAATATGATTTATGAGTTTATTTGTTTTAAGTTATTTATAATCTAACTCGATGATGTTGTTTTTTTACCATTTTTATGTAAATATTATGGAATGATTAATAATAAGATGATTTTTATTTTATAAAAAAAAAAACCCATAACTTATTTACCTTTTTTCTGTACACCATACTCGTTTACCCGCATCATGTGACCATTCACTATTACATGGTGGCCATTGTTGTTCAAAACGTGCTTTTTCTTCATTTTTCTATACAAAAAAAGTTTATATAATAACGAATATAAATGATTATTAAAGTTATTAACTTTTTTCATATTATTAACTGATATGAGCACATTACTAAAATGTTTTGTGGGTGTTCCATTTGTATCAAAATATCGACCAATTAATTTTCCTAGAAAATAAAATGCTATCAGTTTAGAATACTTAATATATATATATATGCATCAAGGGTGTATCAAGCAAGGGTGAGAGTCGAGAGAGTGCTCGCCTTTAACCTTAATAAATTTTCTCCTATTCTCTAGCGAAGTTTTGGGCACCAACTCGTCCACGACTCTGGCTTTGTCTAATTCTGACAGCTTTGGAACACCTCTGATATGCCTTAAACGAATTATAATATCTAAAAATACCAATTTGTGGATATTGTTTTTGATAGAATGTTAACCAACCATATACACCAGCAATATCTTCATCAGTTAATCCAGTTAAATCATCAGTAAGATCTTCTGCTGATGTACCACCTGTATGAAAACCTCGAGAAGCATCACGACCTAAATAAATTTATTAGTATAAATTTTATATTTACATATGAACAAGTCAATCTTTAATTTTTACATATGAGGCTAAATGTTATAACCTGCTAGGATCCTACTCTACTACATAGAAAATCTCAGCACTAGGCCTCGATCAAATTTTTATGAATATAGAACAAATGTGATCAATTAGGATATAAGTAAAACATTGGTTTTTTTTTCTCATTGACGTTTCATGCATACCTGTAAAAAATTTGTAACTTCCCGTCGATGAATAAAATTTCGGTGCTGATGTTACATTGAACACATGTCCTATAATAATACGAATATTGAATTCGTTTCTTTTTTTATTTTTGATTTTAATTAAAATTTTAATATGTTTCTCTTTTTTTACCTAAAATAGCTAAATACAATTCATCTTTAGTATATGATTGAAGTTCATCAACTGTAAATAAACGTTCTTTTTTTATTGGATTTTCTTCATCAATTCTTTGACGTTGAACAACAAATGAAATAATTATTACAAAAATAAAAGACGCCAACCACCATTTGTAACTACATACAAAAGAAAAAAAAAGATAAATTTGTCCGATAAGAGTATCTAGTGTATAGATAATAAAATATAAATAACACTTGTTTGATTCTCTTTTTTGATTCATACATGAATATGTAAAAACTTTAATCATACTTTGATAAGAATGAAGGTGTTTGAGAAAGTTGATTCACAGATTCATCATGAGCTTTGTTATTCTTCTCTTTTGTTGACTAAAAATAAATAGAACGAGTAATTATTCATTTCTTGTTATTTGTTCATAGGAAATATAGTATATTTTTCTTTTTCACGATTCATTTCCTGATCGGTATGTTTTTTGAATGATTTTAACTTCTATAAATTTCCTTGTTTGGTTTTTTTTTTACGATTTATAATTTTTTGCTCTTGCTTAGTAATTTCTCGTCTGGCTATAGAAATGGAAGAAAGAAAAAGATTTCTTGTTGACTTTGCAATAAATAAAATTAAAAAGAAAAAAAAAAGTTAGAATTAAGCCATGATAGAAAGTATAGTAATAAAAAGAATAAATTAAAATTAGTTTTTATAGTAGCCTACCATGATAGTGATTCTTTTCTATTGCTTTAAAAAAATATAAAAATTGTACTTTAATTGCCCACAACTTATCTTTTATCTACAAGATGCTCTAAGCAATAGTGACACATCAACTATTTAAGCTTTTCGTCCCTAACACATAACTAATTTCTTTTTTTTTCTTTTTCTTTCTATTCTTTGTGCATATTTACATGCACTAACGTCCATGATTCTCTCCCACTTTTTGTTTCTCTCATTCTCTCATTTTTTTTTTCTTTCTCCTCCATCCCTATAAATATTTGCCGCTCACCTATCGATAGTATAACATTCAATAGTGAGTGAAAATATAAAAAAAACGGTTTAATCATTCATAATGATACTATGTAATTGTCTATATCTACATTTTTCTTTAAATTTATCTTTTTCAGATCTCTACTTGATTTTTTTATTAACTAAAGAAAACAATTTTTCAATCATGGGTGGTAAAGGATCAAAAAAACAACGAACATCTACTGAACTTACACCTAAAGGTTTGCTGTTTATAATCACATTCGTTTTGGTTTTTCTTTATTGAGTTTTTGAATTTCTAGAAATTGATATGCTTAAAGCTAATACTAAATTTACTGAAAAGGGTAAGAATTCTATGCATTTAATATGTTCATTGCTATTTTCTTTTTATTAATATTTTTAGAAATTCGAGAATGGCATACTGTAAGTGTTTTTTTAAACTCGTTTACTTGATCTATGTATTTTTCGTATTTTTTAACTTGTCTTCAGGGATTTTTACGTGATTGTCCAAGTGGTAAACTTGATAAAAAGAAATTTGTTGATGTTTATAAACAATTCTACCCACATGGAAAAGCTGACGCTTTCTGCAAGTAAGTTACTGTATAATTAATTCATATTTTATTGTAATTTTTTCTATTTGTTTTATTAGATATGCATTTGCTACTTTTGATACTAATAATGATGGTACAATTGATTTTGATGAATTTCTTTTGGCTATTGCTGCAACAAGTCAAGGTGATTTAGATGATCGACTTGAAGTTGCATTTGAAATGTATATGGTTTTTTATAAGATATTTTTCCTATTAAATTACTTCTGTTTTTTAGGTATGATGTTTCGGGTGATGGACAAATCGATCAGAAGGAATTGACTAACTTGATTTCAGCTATGGTAGAGAGCTGTGTTTTTTGTTTTACTTTAGTATATATATATATTTGTTTTGTTTTAGTATGATCTTGTTGGCGAAACCGATCGTAAAGGTGATCGTGAACCAAAGAAACGTGCAGCTGAAATTATTACTAAACTTGATGTTGGTGGTGATAAGAAATTAAGCAAACAAGAATTTATTGCTGGGTATGTTATTAGATCAACTTTTTCTGTCTTTCTTAACTTTTATTTCTCTGATTAGATGTAAAAATGATCCAGTCATTCGTCGCATGCTTGCACCAAATGTTTAGACAAACAGTAGTTTTTGATTTTGTTTTTTGAAAGACACGTACCAAATATAGACCAGACAAATTTCTGTTGTGTTCTTATGTCTATTTAGTCTTTTTTTTTGTAATAAACAATCACCAATGTACAACAGTTCATGACTGTATGAAAAAACAAGACAAAGAACAATAAAAAAGCAGCACATTAATATTATTTTATAACTATTTCTTCATTTCTATCTTGTTACTATTCCAGTAATGATTCAGCAAAAAAAAATTCACATTGATATTTTTTATTGATATTTTAATGGTTTTTTAATAGTGTCTGTAAGTAAATCAACACAAGACGTTTAACGCCATTAATAACAAATAGAATAGTATATGACCTTGATAGAGTAGAAGAAGAAAAAAAAAAGAGATTTTTTCAATAACTGTTTGAATCACTCGAGTTGCTATGTAATGTAAGTGTAGAGAATTCTTGAAAATATTGTTCATATTGCTTTGAAAGTTAAATTAAATTTTCAGATTCAAGAAATGATGTTGTATTGAAAAGTATTTGCAAAGATTTCTTGTATTAATAGAATAACTTTTTCTTTGTTAATAAAACTATCGGTAATGTAAGATGATAGAATTTAAAATGATTTGGGCTAATGAAAAACATCTGTTTGAAAAGACTTATTATTCATCACTAGGTTTCTTTTCTATTTTAACTAACCAATAGACATATAAGTTGATGCGAACGATCGGCGATGATGATTGAAATTTTCGAATAATTTAAAAAAATGTTTTTTTCTTAGTTCTGAGATGTTTTCAAGTGAAAGAAACACGAGAGGAATCGTAGAAAAAAATATTGATAGAAAATTAAACAAAAAAAAACTCTTGAAAAATCATCGTGAGGATCGGGAATTTTTAAAACTCAATATTCTGTCTTATTTTGTTTCGATAGCATTAACGACAAAGATTTTTCAAAAGTTACGCAGTGACTCAGCCGATCGAACTTCAAATAACAAATAATATTTATAAAGTGAAATGAGGAAAATGCTCATTGCTTTACATACTTGAAACACGTTAGTTTTTCATGGCATCTTAAATTGAAGGAAATTTCCTATCGGTTTTGATAAAAAAAAGAACCTGTGCTTCTTATCGATAGAATATTTGCAAGGAAAAAAAGTTTTTTTTCTGAAGTATTAATTAAAGCTCTCTTCGTCCTTCAAACGATCTTTGAATATTTTTTCAACCGTGTATATTGATAGTTAAGAAAATAGAAGCTAAGAATAAGTATTTGTTGATTTAAAACGTACAGTGCAAGGTGCAGAGTAAATATTCTGTAGTCTGAAATCCAGATGATGCGTTTTACATTTGTTTGAACTAGGTAGAAAACATATGAAATCAAAAAGAGAAATAAAAAAAAGACAACGGTGAAAATGTAACGCTACTTTTTTTTATATATAAATTCTGAAAAAGTAGTCACATTATTGAATTCAACAAACTACATGACTATTGTCATAAAGTTATTTTAAAAAGCTGAAATCACTACAAATAATTTCTAAAGACTTCTACTGAAATGAATCATATTCATGAACGAAATCTTATAGATTCAAAGTACGGTAACAATTAATTTTGTTTTTATTTCTTTGTCGAATATTTTATTCGATAGAATGAGTAAATTACTATGCATTAATCGATGATATATCGGTACATTTGATTTGATTAACAACGTTCGTTGTCTGAGTAGGGCAAAGTTCTGGATCGATTGCACAAATAACATACAAATGATGAAAAAAAGGCTTTTGTGAAGCCAAGTATTTTGATAGCAAATTTTACATATTTATTAAATAGTTCTGTTTGAATGTATCTCTAATGAACGAAACGAAGCTTCTTTACTAGTTACTGGTATTTACTAAATAATTTGAATAACATTGTCAAGTCCTCACTTGTTTGTACATGTCTGCGTAGGTATTTGATACATAGGGTAGTGATTAATCAACGCCATTGAGGCAACACAATATGATCACACAAAGGTAACATTGTGATCTATCAAGCAATATTGACCTTGTATACGTAGTCTATTGTTGATGATAAGAATGCAGGAAAGGTTCAGAACAACGAAAAATATCATGATACTATGTTTCTTATTCAATTAACAAACTACTTGAGGAGTGTGGGTGTGGCTTCGGTTTTCATGATGGAAAGATGAACACACTCGCACCCACACCTCAATAATATCTATGGTATGTCTATTTTTGAGCATAGATTATGATAAACCATCGAATGTTTTAGTATATTTTGGCCATAATCTTTGTGATCCCAATCTATTCAACATTGCTGTTTTATCCATCGTTTTTAGTTCGTCTTGACATTAAAAGATACCTTCTTTTGAGTTGAAAATGAACTATTGACTTCTAACGAGTAAAATAAATTTTTCTTTCGAAGAGAAGATTCATATTATTAAATTTTCATTTGCAGCTGAACTAGTCGCTTGTCAATCATTGGCATGTAGTAAATCAACCAATGTTTCTTCTGTCATATAACATATAAAATCAATGTATGGTTTCATTTTTCTTGATGGTACAAATAGAATGTAAAAATGTCATTATATGATAAAAAAAAATGATTATGTCTAGACGATGTAAGAAACCATTTTAGAAATAATGCATGTTGTCTACAGATTTTATTTGTTAATGAGTCACTCTATTTAAAATGTATCACATGTAAATATAAAAAAAAAACCAAATTACAATTTGAATAATGATAGTATTTTATTTTATCGAAAAAATTTTATATGAAATTTATTTCTGATTTAATTCAATAGACAAATATAGCGCCAATCAAAGATAGAAGAAAGATAACTTTTAAAATAAAGGTAAACTATTCTAGTTTATAATGAATTCATTGCAAGTATCTTATCCACATGATGAATTACTTACTATTGACTTTAATGAACGTATCAATTCTCTTCATATTTCTCTTATGAATCAACTAGAATCATTACCAAACAAGAATTTATCTTTGGAACAAATATTTCATCTCATTCCAATTATATTTCGATTTCTTCGTAAAAATCTTCAATCACAAGAAAAATTTTCTAATGAATATAATAATCTATCTAATAGTATTCAAAATATGATTTCGATTTTTACTCAATATATTCATGATCGACATAATCATGAAAACGAAATCTTCTTTCTTAAAGATAAAATTTCACAACTTATTGGACAAATTGGTTATACACAATATTGTTTAGAACAATATTGGACAATTATTTATAGTTTAGAACATGAAATAGAACGATTACAAATTCTTCTTAGTAATCCACAAGTTTTACAAATTAATCTACAAAAATTTCAAGCATATCAAGAAAGCCAAAAAATTCAATTAGATCGATTTATAAAAGAAAATGAAAAATTAAAAGTTTTAATTAATAAACAAAAAGATTCAATTCAAATCATACAAACACAAATTGAAATAGATCTAAAAGAATTACAAACAATAAAACCAATCTTGGATAAAATTAAAGTAGAACAAAAAGATATTCATAATCATTGGTTACAAATAGGTTTGTCATCTTAACAAAAAAAAATCATGAAATT